CCCCCACCTGCACCCCCAAGCCCCCCAGACGCACCCCAAACCCCAGGATGCTGATGCTCAACCATCAGCTCCTCAACAGGATTTGGAAGATACCACCGAAAAAGGGAAGGGAAAAAAAAAAACCCAACCCCAAGCCCCAGTTTTGGTGCAAACCCCAGGTATTTCCATCAATGACCTCGACTCTGAAACAATTATTTACACATTTATTACAATCGGTCTTCTTCGAAACCTCTGGCAGGTGGAAAAAAAAATGAATCCCCCCTGACTGGCTTTGGTAGCTGGTTTTTTTTTTTTTTTTTTTTTTTTTTTAAAATGCTTATAAAATAAAATAATAATAAATCATTTTACAAAAAGTTCAGGTTCTTGCCCCACTCAGAGCAAACCCCGGCTGCTCAAAACGCCAAGGGAAAATATTTTGGGGAGCGAAGGGTTGAGAAAAACCCATCGTAAATTTGAAGGAGTGATTAAAAACCCCTTTATCACTGAAAAAAATAAGTGTTTTGGGGTTTTTTTGTGGGCTGGTGGAGCCGGACTGTGCTTACCACAGCACCAACTGCTCGAAAATGGATTCCCCCCCTCAAAAAAACACATGGCAGTGGGTTTTCCATGCAGTTGGTTTTTTTTTTCTCCAGTTGCATTGATGGTGATTTTCCAGCTGGGAACTGGGTTTTAACTCCTTTTTCTGATCCCATCCCATGGTGGGAAGAACGATTTTCTCTCCACGATGGGAAAAAAAAGGCACCGAGAGCTTCCAAGTGCAGACCTGCCTTTTTCTGGGGGGGGGGGGGGGGGAAAAAAATGCCCCTTTTCTGGATGCAAACTACATACAAGTGAAATAATCTGAGATTAATAATTTAATTGCAATAATACAACCTTTTTCCTTCTTGGTTTTGGTTTGGGTTTTTTTTTGGTAGCCTGAAGAACTTTTGGGGGCTGTAAATATTTTGTCACCTTCTTGGGGATTCGAAGCGCCCTGGTTGTCTTGAAAACCTCCAAGAAATGGCATAAAAATATTTACTTCCAAAAAAAAAAAAAAACCCCAAACCCAAAGAAATGGGAGACGCCCCCCCTTCCCCACGATTACAAAAGCAATTTCACATGGGTATTTTTGGTTGGTTTTTTTTGTTGATTTTTCATGGTTACTCTCGTTCGCCACAGCAGGATTTTAGAAAAAGACTATAATACAAAGATTTTTAGTTAATTTTGCTGTAAAAATGAACCCCATGACCCATCGGCGCAGCTTTTTAAAGCTAGAAATTAAAGAATTGCGGTAATTTTTTCTCCCCGAGCAGAGACGGAGAAGTCAGGTTTGAAACGCAGTTTTTCCCCCCCCCCCCCCGCCCCCCGGATGATTTCAATTGTTTTTTGTTTTTTTTTTAAAGGGGGGGAAGCACTAAAATAAAGAAAACACTGGTTGTTATCACAGGGGGAGATGTTGATCCTTCTTTTAAAATGCGGCTTGGGGAAACTCTCTTTAGTTACAGCAGAACCCGGGATTTATATACATGTTATATGGCTAAAGTGAGTGCTAATGGAATTAAAAAGAAAAAAAAACCCAAACCAAACAATCCCTCCCCCAAATAAATCAAATTACCAACACTGCGCTGCTAATTCAATGCACGGAGCAGAGTCAGGGTTTGGTTTTGTTGGTTGGGTTTTTTTTGGTTTTTTTTTTAATACTACTGGCAGAAAGGAGAAGCCGTGGGATCGAAACCCTTAAAGACATCTTTAAGGGAAGCAGCGTCTTGCTGCTCGCTGTCCTGCGCCGGGCTGTTCCCCGCAAATGGGCTTCCCGATCCGGATTTGGCGCTTTGTTTGACCATGCCGTAAACGGAGGGGACCGGGAGGTTGTGGACCCCAGGTTGGGGGGTCGTTTCTTGGGCAGGGGGCGTGGCGGCAGCGGCTTTGGGACGAGGCCGGTTATAGCTGTTGTACCTGTCTGTAGCAGATTCGGTGCTCGCCTTCTCCAATTCGGGTTGATCTAACGCCGATCGCCGGACGAAAAGGGGTTCCTTGGTTTTACCGGTCATTTTGCCGGAATCTGAGGATTTGGAAGATGAATTACCTTCGTTAGGAGACTCGGAAGCTTTGCTGCCCGAGCTCGGAGTCCTGGGATCATACAAGCTGATGGCGCTCAGCACACTGCTCTGCCCGCTGCCTTTGCTCAGCCCGCCGGCTGTCAGCAGCCGAGGGTCATAGGGAGCGATGGCCGGGGCAGCATCGCCAGCAGACACCGCCTCTGCCGTTTTAGGGGTTCTAGAAACCCCCATTTCCGCAGATTTTTGTAACCGGGGATCGGCAGGGGCTTTCCGCATCCGCGGGTCACTGGGTTTGTCACTCTGGCTGGAAGATGGGCTGCCAGCCGCGTTCACAGTCTTTAATATCCTCGACAGGAGCTCGAAATCAGGGAGACCGGTGCCTGAAGAGGAACCAATGTCCCCCGGCGCCATTCCCCCTCTCTGCCTGGGATCGGAAAGACCCGTTTGGGATCTGTTAAGACGGGGATCGAGGGTAGGCATGGATTGAAGGGCAGCCGGGACGGGAATAAACTCTTGCTTTGGGATCGGCAGAGGAATCAGATCCTCTGGGCTCCACAGGATCATCCGGGCAAAGCTGGGTTTGTTGAGGATGACGTCTTTCTTGATGTGACTGAACTGCTGCAGCTGGGAGCGGGGATCCCGCAGGGAATGGCCCGGGAGAGCATCTAAGGGGATGTTGACCGGTTTATCTCGTAGAGCCCTTTCCCCTTCTTCCTCGTCAGGGAGCAGGGGGGGTTTCTGACTGCCGATGACACTGGAATGAGGAACTTCTGGTTTGGGGGTGGAGGAGGGAATGTGTCGTGCAAGCCTGGGGTCAGTGGGTCCCGAATCGCTGGGGAGAGATGGGACAGAAAGGTCCACGTTTCGGGAAAGCCTGGGATCCCGTAAACGCGGATCGGCAGGACGACCGCTCCCTCCTGCTTGGGCTTTTTGCAGGCGAGGGTCGCTCACACCGGAGGGTGGCCCAATTTCTCCGTGGGAAGATTGGGCGTGAGGTCTGCCGGAGCTTTGTTGCCTTAGGGTTTTCAATATTGAGGTGACGCTACTTCCACCGTCATCTTCGTCACTGGAATACCAGTTACCAGTATCACCTGGGAGGAAGGAGAAGAGAAAGCAGCTGATTAAACGCAATTAAAGCACTGTCAAGCCACGACGCTGAGGAGGTCCCCCAAAATGCGTTCCCTCTCCCCTCTCAACCCAATGCTGCTCAAATTCCCGACCGTCCCTAGGTTTTGCCAAAACTGGGGACCACATGCGACAGCCTCGGCCTCCCTGGTCTCATTTTCACACCCCAAATTACCGGTGAACCATAAGCATCCCTCTCTTCCTCTTCCTCCTGTCTGCAGCAGGCTCTAATTTCACCACAATTTAAGCCAGCAACCCTATCTCGTTCACCTTCTGGCCAGCTGTTCCCATTTTTTTGGCAGACCTGCTTCACTTCCTTCACCAGCAACGTGCTCTTTCGATGCTGGAGATTTTCTTTGAGGTATTCAGCACCCCTTGTTCCCTAAAGAATTCCTTCCCAATACTCCCATTTCTCCGACGGCCCCCTCTTTTTCAGAGATCACACCTCCGGGTGGGTAGAAGCTTGAAGCACATTCAAGTTATCCCCCCCTCAACACATGCGGCTTTGAATGGAAAATGTATTTTGCCACTTGCCTTCCTCATTTTCACGTTCCTGCTTATTGCTTTCAGCTAGTCTCCGAGCTCTCTCCTCTTCCTCTTGCTGCTTCTGCTGGATTCTCAAGTAAAGCGCTCTTTGCGCCGACGGCATGAAATCAGGGATGCTGCCTGGTGGTTTCGGTAAGCCGGGCGGGCCTCCTTCGCACAAGGCATCATGATCCAAGGATGGATCAGGGAACATGTGCTCTCCCGGAGGCCCTTCCATATCGTCGTAACTGCCGTAGTCTTCTGCCAAGGAAAGATCATCATGTGTTAAAAAGAAAATCTCAAAGCTGCGAAAAACAACCCAATTTTTCCTCCTCTCGGCCTGTTGCTGTGCCTGGGCATCTCGGGAACAACCTGTCTCCAACAAAAGCACCTAAGAGCCAATCCCAGCAGATCCTCAGGACATACCTGGGTCTCCCATCATGCCGTGATCCATCTCCAGACCTTCTTGCTGCTGGTAGAAATTATCATAGAAACCTTGCGCTGGTGGGATGGGTGGCATCATGCCGGAGTGGGGGGAATCATCTGGTCCGTAGGGCATCATGGGGGGTCCGGGACCCATCGGAGGGCCGGGATTCATTCCTGGGCCCATTGGCATGTCCGGGTGCATGTCAGGGTGCATATCCGGGTGCATGTCAGGGTGCATGTCCGGGTGCATGTCGGGATGCATGTCTGGGTGCATGTCAGGGTGCATGTCGGGGTGCATGGGTCCAGGCATTGGCCCTGGGGGTCCTCCTGGCCCGGGGAACCTGGGAGGAGGTGGACCTGGGTGCCTGGAAGAGGAAACAGAAGAAAATATGCTTTAAAACACACTCTCTGCTTCTGGAGGGAGGGACCCAGGGCTCTAAGAGCCAAAAATGTGATGCCCAAATGGAGAGAAACCTCTTTTCTATGAGTTCACACCCACCATCAGCGACTGCGTCAGAGCGTTAGGGCAGAGCTCATCGTTCGACACAAAAATCTGCCATCCCCATTCCTCTACCTGCTACCTGGAGATGCTGAGACTCACCTGACGCCCAGCTTCTCCGCCAGCTGCCCGGTTGGCCGCACGACGATCTCAAACAGTGAGGGGATCTTCTTGTACATGTCCTGTTGCTGCTGCAGCTGCTGCGGTGACAGAGGCTCATGCATTGGTGGCGGCATCTGTGGCCCCGGCGGTGGAAGTGGTGGCGGCGGAGGGGGAGGAGGGCCTCCAGGCATGGGTCTCCCGTTCGGAGACGTCGGAGCTGGCGGTCCGGGTGGGCGAGGGGGTGTGGGCAGCAAGCCAACCCCAGGGGGTGGTTTGGGGAGGGGATTGATGCCCTGTTTCTTTAGCTCTTCAACTTCTTTCTCGTCCTCTGCACCTGCTTCTGCATCATCCGCCAGCATCTGAGAAAAAAAAGGAGTTAAGAGCAGATCCATGGAGCTGCCCAGCTGACCAACATGTTCCAGAAAACGTCTCCCTCCCTTTCCACCTCCAGGATCTACTTCCACAGAAGAAAAACAGAGGGTGAACCTGTGTTAACACCCTTCTGTACCTTGTCCAGAAGCTCCCGCGTCTCCTCTGTGAGCGGATCATGAGAAAACATGCAGTCATCCCCATTGATACAATTGCCTGTGGTGTGGAACAGCTTGCAAGGGAAATCTCGTAACATTTATTAAGGAGAATAAACCCCAACAGGGAGTTACTCCTTCAGCCAGAGAGGCTATAGATGCTTTTCACTTTGAAATGTGGCTCTCAACGTGTAGGATTTTCATGGTCACAACAGTGAAATTAAACTACTGTCACCAGAAACACCCGCTTTCCTTTCTGCTGGATTTCCCTGTAGGCACAACGGCCACAAACCTTGTTTCTTCAACAGGAAAGGTGAGGCTAAGAAGGAACCGGGATGGCTGTCTGCAGCCCTGGTCGTTCAGCCTGTCAGCGGAGGATGTGTTACCCAGGAATGGCCTTCTTTTTTCCCCCGACCCCCTCACATGCATCCATGCAGAGTCAACATGACTAATTTAAGGCTGGCTTAATGAAACAGTCAAAACCAAAAGGATATCATGCATGTAAGGGCAGTTTTCAGCCCTGGCGCAGTAGCCCGTGATGTAGAACTTGCACAGTTCCCGCTTCTTTGGTAGTTCAATGTCATGACTGAAATTGCAGTGGTCACCCTGTTCAGAAACAACATGACAGCATCTTAGCAGATGCAAGCGTGAACATATTTGTCAGCAGCCCAAAACACACCTAGGATGGACAGGGAGATGTGTGCTTTTTACAAAATGCTCTTTGTAGGCATGAATCTCTCCCTGAAATCAGTTAAAACCTGGACCTGATGCTTCAATGACGGTTCCGCATGTGTGTAAACAGATCTACATAAATATTCTTGAATTGCTCCCTTACCCAGGTACATCTGCCTTCCACGAAGTATTTGCAGATCACTTTCCCTTTCTTATCCGACTGCTGGTGGGGTTTGTCGTGGTCGTTCCGCCGGTAATTTCCACCACCTCCTCCATCCTGTCGGAAGCACATTATGTTAGTTGACAAAGAATTTGAAATACAAAGCAACAGATTACACAAGAGAAATTAAAACTTCCTACGCAGCCATCTCTGAGAGGGAACAAGACTGAGATCTGGGATGAAAAAGGGAGACAAAGATGAGCATGCTGAGCCTAGCAGGCCCCTGAGCACAGCTTGAGGAACCTGTCAGTGGATCAGAATCCAAAACATCCATCTCTTTCAGAGATGGGACAACTTTTGTGGATCGTGGGGAAGGCCCGTTTGTTTTTTTCGCTCCTGCGAAGGCTTTCTTCGAAACCTGACTGGATTTACAGATGGGGGTGGGGGAAAGGAGCAAATCCAGCACTGCAGCAAGCCATTAGAAAACAAAGAGCTACTTACTCCCATGTCCTCATCGTAGTAATCATCATCTTCATTCATTCCACCACCTTTCCCCATCCCACTTCTGTTTCCACCTCTGCCTCGTCCTCTGCCCATTCCTTTATTTCCTCTTCCTCTGGGGCCACGACCACGTCCTCGATTTAAACCTGAAACAAGCCCCCTCGTTTCTAATTTCTCTCTTTCCGTAAAATGTGTGAGAGAGCAGAAAGCGGGGACCATCCCAGCACAGCTTGTTATCCCACTCACCCCGTCCACGATTCTCCTTACTCCTGCGGTACTGATTCAGCTCTTTCGAGTAGTCATCGTACTCGTCATCACCCATGGGCTCCTCATTATCGCAGTACTACAAACGAGAAGGATTGGTGCTTTCAGTGAGCAGGGGTGAAGCACAGCTCATTCCCCCTCAAACACAGGCATCCTGATCGTGAAAAAGAATATTCTCATGCCTCCATGGTTCTCTGGGAGCAGGTCAGGGACTCAGGCACTTACTTCCATCTCTTCTTCATACATTTCCTCCTCTTCCTCGGGGTGGTCACTTCTGCCTCGCCCTCGGTTCCCTCGGCCCATGCCTCGGCCTCCTCTCATCCCCCCTCTGCCACCTCGCCCTCTGTACCCTCTGCCTCGGCCACGGCCACCTGGTGAAGCAAAGGGATGGGGTCAGCTTTGTGCTGTGTTTCACCCCTCAAGTACCTTAAAACAGCACAAGAATATCCCAGACAAGGAAAAATAAATTATAACCTTTCAGTACGGGATTACCAGTGCCTTAAAAACGTTTTTCTAAGTGAATCAGTTTTTAATATTCTAAAAGAATGGAACCTTCTTTAAAAAAAAACAATGGCATATGACCACGTCAGCTGCTGCACAGGTACGTTAGACTGGTAACGTAAATCTATGTACTCCAGATGTGATGACATCAGACTTGTTATGCTATCAATCGACTTCATTTTCCTTTCAGATAAAGGTTTTGTTCTATTTTATCCACTATGTGCTTTTAAAATGATCTATACTAGCAAGAAAAATGCTTATTTAAAACATTAAATTATCCACAGGGATCTGAACTTTTGCCTTGGAGTGGAAAACAGGAAAAAACACTTTCCCCTGTCGCAAACTAACACCAAAGAGTTGTTTAGGCCATTGCAGCTGGCTCTCCATAGGCAGGGCTTCATGCAGGCCAGGCAGTTCACCTTCGTGAAGCTTCTTGCATGCGTCCAGCCTTATTTGGCCACAGACCAGCTAAACAAGCTGCAGGTAACGAGTGTCAGAGTTATGGCGAGAAAAGGAATGCTTAGATGTACCTCGCCCCCGGTGAGAGCCTTCCTTTGCTCTTCGGTATTGATTCAGCTCTTTTGCAAAGTCATCGTAATCTTCCTTCCCTATATCTTCATCCTCTTCCCCCTCGTACTGACCGTACTCCTCATTCTCGTAGTCCTCATACATGCCATAATTCTTGCTCTCCATTTTAGAGTAGCTCTTCTTTTGCATGGGAGCGCTGTGAGAGGACGGATACTGCTGGTGGGACTTTGAGAAAGGCAGAGAGGTTAGTGATGAAGGAAAGGAATAAATCAGGCTCAATATTATGACTTAATTTTTAAAAATAATTTAAAAAAAACCCTTAAATAACAGCTAGGTGAAAAATCAACAGGCTAAAGGACCAGAGCCAAAGCATGTGGCCCATAGATGGAGCTAGACGGGCACCGGCACTCAAAGCTTGCAGCAGCTCTGAACCGGAGAGCAGCTTCCCCTTCTCTCTCTGCTGGCAGGTACTTACTGAAGAGTAGGGAGGGCTGTATTCCCTGTATTTTCTGTGTCCCTTTTCACCAGGACTGAAGTCTGAGTCCTCACTGTAATCAGAGAAGTCATCACTGGAAGAAGCATGGCGCTGCAAGGCAAGGAAAACACATGGTGCCATTTTATTACGGGCCAGCTCTTGACTCTGACACTGCTGCCAGGCCCCTGGCCTTTCTATACAACACAACTAAGTCTCCCTTTGCCGCCTTTTTTTTTTAGGAAACTCGTATTTTGCTTAACAAAATCTTCAGCGTTCACTGAGTTACAAAACTGGAGGCCTATTAGCAGGTTACCTAACGAAGACAATCATGATACGCCTTCTGCGCTCCAGAAATTCCCGAAACTTAAGTAACAAACATCACTGATTTGCAAATCCAGCAGTCTGCAATCCCCTTTGAGGTAAGAATGCTCACAAAGGAATTCCCTAAATAAAAACCCATTTTCTTCCCGCTCTGTGTTCTCAGATGGACAAGAGAGCACTGTAGCATTTTTATCCCACCTGCAGAACTTGGTGCCCCACTGCTGTGCTTGCTAGTCCTCAGTGGAGGAAGGCTTTAAGGATCTGAACCCCAAGAAATCCTGCCAGTGCTCCCACCTTGCAATTATTGTTAGGGGAAGAGCCTCAAACTACCCATAACGTTAGAGGAGAAATTCCCTGGAGACACCTGATGGCAGAGGAATGCAGACTGGAGCTGGGACTCTGGAGGACCTAGGAGGCAAATGCAGCGCATGGCTCACCTTGTGTTTGGACTTCCTTTTCTTCTTGGATCTCCTCTTCTCTTTCTCTCTCTCTTTCCGACGCTTGCGCTTCATCCGTCGATGGGCTTTCTCATCATCCGAATCGCTGTGATGCTTCTCTCCTTTCTCCTTCCGACCTCTTTCATGAGATTCGGAGGGATCCTGAGCCTCCTCTCCTCCATCATCCTCCAGCTCCCCTTCTTCCAGTTCACCATCCTCCCTGCAAAACAGACAGACATGTTTAATTCCCCTTATTCAAAGGAAGAAAATAAAACCTGTTTACTCTGCTCACCAGCCAGCCAGGCACTCGGCTCCCAAAGTGCTCACAAATTCCTAGTTACTGCGGTTTTAAACATTTGACTGCAAATACCAATTCTGTTCCTCTCTGCCACCGAAATCTGCTCAAGCTCTCGCTCAGTCTGGAGTTAAACACAGCAAAGAAGCATCTTGCAAATGACAAACGGAAGCCACAACATTACGGCGCTCAACTTTCCTACGAAATTATTGCAAACAAACTCCAGGAATGGGAATTGGTGCTTTAATAAAACACTCAGTCCACTCCAAGAACTGAAATTGGTGTTTTAATAAAACAAGCAGTCCTCTAGAAGACAAAAATAAGTAAATATCATGTTGGTTTGCCAAACCTAGAGATGTGTGCCCAGTTATTTCCACTTTCTTATGCTCCCATTCACCCACAACCGTGGTTAGCAGAGGTGATAAAGCAAATCTGAAACTTCCTCAAGACGATTCCCCAAGCACCACTCAATTAAATTCAATTAAAAATTACTCAGATACAGGTTACAAGAAACTTTTTACAACCTTGTAACAGATTAAATGTGTAATACGGCACGAGTTCAATCAGCTCCCTTGCATTAATTCCTTTTCTCCCAATAGGTCCCAAGTTTGCCGCTGCAGGATTTAAAATGAGAATGGGGTCTCCTCCTCCCTTTTCACTTACGGTAAGCTATAATTAAACACATAAACGCTGGCTTGTTTATATATGTCATGGTCATTCACAAACAACAATTTAGGAGCGTATAGGCGGTGAATGTTTGACACGCATCCCTCTGGTGGGGTTTTTTTTTTAGGCTATGGAAAGACTGACTTCTTTGGCTGCTATAAACTCCCCTCTTTAGCACCACAATGGGAACGGCAACCGCGGCAGTGTGCCGTGCCATGCCTGTGCTGTGCCGCCAGCTGCAGAGAAGGCAGCTCGGCTGGAAGAAGGAGCTGCTGCCGCTTGGTAGCTCTCAGGGAAGTCTGGAAGCTGAAATGGGGTTTATGAACGGCACACAGGAGCCTCTCGGAAAAAGCTCCGCTGCATAAACGAGCTGACCTGTTGATAACCTCAGGTTACATTAAAAAAAAAAAAAAAAAAAACGAAAACCAAAGAAAAACTGAATTATTTCCCCAAACACATTAAAAAACCTATGAAAACCAGCATTAACAATCCCTGGGAAGCATCCTGGGGATGTTTCAGCATGGTGGAGAGCAAACACTTGGATACAGCTGCCCAGTCCGACTCTGACGCAAAGCTCCCCTCTTGTTTTTGTTTGTGCTTGCACCATTTTAATAACAGACTAGCTCCAAAATCAAGCTCACTGAAGTATTACTCATGAAGCGCTAAAACCTGATGCATAATTCCTAGGTGTCCATACAAGTTTTAAAGGCGACTATCAGTGGAAATTATTTCCGTTGCAAGACTGCAGCATCCTTCAGGTGTTTGCATTCAGTGAGCTCAAGCTTGGAACAAGAGAAACTCATGCTCCACACAAAGCTGAGCAGAAGTAAGAACATAAACAAAACAAGCTTATGGAAAGGAATTTAAATACTTAAATAAAAGTCCTGTCAAAGTCTCCCTCCTTTCTCTAGAGGGACAGTTTCATCAATAAATACGTTTCAAACTAGAAATGCCACCAGGTTTCTGGATCCAGTTTCCAGCAACCTGCTAGCAGAGGACTAGTGAGTGAAGCAAAGCGAAACACCAATACAGCTCACCCTGGGCATGGGACAGGCTTGTAGGGAATGATGAGATGCTATAAAGCCCGGTGTGGCCCGATAAATGCCCTCACACCATATGCCTTTGCAAAAAATGGCTATTCCCTTCGGCATTGCTCCGTTGAAATCAGTGTCATTTACCCTCTCCCAGGACTCCTCACCGGCTGGGGATCACGATTGCTCCTTGCCTTCAGAGAGGAACAAACGTGTGTCGCTAACACCTTAACTGCAATTTTCAGGAGTGATAATTGCTCTTGGTTTTGAAGTACACATGCTTTTACCCTGCCTTGAGTTGCTCTGGTCCGATATCAAGGTTTAAAGGAGACTACACCCCTGGAGCCACATCCCGATTGACAATCCCGTTATTTAATTTGCTGTGGTTACAGAAACGACAACCAAAAAGGCTCCTGAGAACAAGCGTACAAATTTTGTGGCCGCTGCAAAGATTATTTGAAAAGTACCAAGCAACAGGACGAGGCCAAACTGTCAAAGTGATCGCTGAGCTGTTTAGCAGATGAATATCAATTATTTAATCAACATACCTGTCTCCTAAAGAAGGAAAGTCTGAAAAATCACGTTTATAGACACGCTTAAATACCAAACTACATCTTAAGATGGGCAATATCATCTCCTGCCATTTTTAAACTCCAGTTCTGCTGGATTTGAGTAGGTTTGGGCCAGAAATGATACACCAACCTCTCTGAGGGACTGTGGGGCTTATTTAGAGCTGGGAAAGTGCTCTTTAAACTTTTAGGCAATTATTATCGAAGCACCGAACACAATGAAACAGAGTCATTTGAAATACGGCAACTGGTAGGTAAGGATGTTTGAAAGCAACCAAATGATTTCTCAGGCAGGATAGAAAAAAATTAAAAGCAATTAAAGCAACGTTGTGCATTTTTGGGGGACGGCTCACCGTGGAGAGTCGCTGCGGGTACGCGGTGAAGAAGCCATGTCTCTTAAGCAACTACTGGTATTGCAGAAAACACTGACTGGGGGAAAATTCTTCCCCGAATCCACACTCATCTCAGGCTTTCCTATCGCTCCTGCTCGCCTGATCTACAGGGGATGGTCCCCGGCGCAGCACGCATCCTCGTGGAAGGACCCACACCGGGTGCCGTGCGGCGTTTGTGACCTCAGTGCCACGGCAATGATGGAACACGGCAGTGACGACGCCTGGAAAAAAAACAAAAGCCCTTTCCAATCGTTATCCTGCCATACTGACAGCGTGGGCACTTTGCTATGGGAAAAATAGTAGGAACGACTGTGTTATGAGAAAGTTCAGTGATTTTTTTGCTATTCTGGCCACTGAAGGGCAGCACAAGAATTAAAATATCATCTTAAAATAAATAATGTCACTTTATACAGCCGAGGCTTTGTTAAATTGGGAAATGAGCGGAACGAAGTGACAAATGAGTGGCCTAGACAGCGGATTTACTGTCAGTTATAGCTGATATACCCTCCCAAACCTATTAAAGATATTATTGCTCCTTGCTTGTTACACCTGAAAGAAACCCCGTCAAAAATAAGCCTCTTGGCTGCCATCCTCAGAAAAACAACAGTGTTTTTTACTACTTTTAAGAAAAGAGCTTTGTGTGCTCTCACCTGCTTTATATATGTAAGCGTGACAGACGCGTACCTTGGTGTAACTTCTACACAATACCCCTATAAACCCCCCCCCAATTTAGCAGCCGACCTGCTGGAAGAAACCTTCCTTTGTATGGCGGCTTTTTGCACAAGAGGTGCAGCTGACCATGAAATTGCCTGCCCGGTGTGTGATCTGGTTTTGCCAGAGCGGATCCACGGACGCCAAGAGTGGGGAGGGAGTTAATGTACAAAGGTAGATCTCGGTTTAACTCTGAGGAATGGAAAGCACAGGGTGGGTGAAAACGCTTTTTTTTTCCCCCTGAGTGATGCAGGAGAAAGGCTCTGAAAATAAAGTGCAAACGCTCTTGAAGTCACCGGACTGCAAATCCATGCGATTTAATCTCATGATAAGCAAATGCTTGCTTCTAATTTTATGTGATCTTAAGAAAAACGCTTGACAGGGACTTAAGCTGTGCACACACATGCGTATCTTTAGGATAAACACCTTCTGCCTCGAGCTGGGCAACCATGAGTTTAAAGTTGATTTTTAACAATCTGATGTATTTGACTGTGTACTCCATGGGGTGGGGCAATGATCAGACAGCAAATTAAAATTTTAAGCATGGTAAAACCAAGTAAAAACTGAAAACTAACCATAAACCAACTGGCCAAGCTCGAGGGGGAGTGGTTTTTTTGGTAGAAAATGGATCATCCCAGCTGAGAGCAACTCTCCACAACCTATTTCAGAGCAGGATTTAAAACCAGACCCCTCCATGTATACAACAGGGCAGGGAGATTGTGCTGCTTTGAGTGGAATTCAGCTCTTTTTAGGACAGACACGTAGTTTTTGCTCATTCTCTGCATTTTAAGGTTTTCTAATGAAACCGCAAGGCCAGGCTTTTCAGACTGACCTCTACATCCAGCTAAAGGTTATTAATCACACATTTAACGCTTCAGCAGAAGTTTACTGCCTCACCAACAACTTGCTTGGAGGAAACATATCCTACCCCAGCATCACACCTGCACGCTCTGCACTGGAGAAAATTATTCAGCGAGATCTCTATTCTTCCACCAAAACACTGATCATCCCAAAGGAACTAAGCTCTCCTCTGGCCCGCCAGCGTGGCCGCTTTACAATTTATTCCAAGTGGAAACCAGGGGAAATACATCAATCAAGAAATAAAAGAAGCACCGCTTTGAAGGCAGCGGGGCCATGCTGCCTCATTCAAACTGTGGAGACTGGGGCAGAAGTCATTAAAATTTATCAGCTTTTTCTATCTTCTATACAGTTGGGTTTGGTTTGGTTTTTTTTTTCCATTATGGTAACATACATGTTGTACCAATTTATACAAGGCTTGGAGAGAGATCCCTTTAGCCCACTCCCGGCTGTAACTGGGGCAAATCCTCCTCCTGACATCCCTAAAATCCATGTTTTTAAGTGACGTTTATACTAAGGGAAACTTTCAAGCGCTATTTGGTCACAACTCAAGATTTCTCAGGGAATGTGCTTGACTCAGCTGCAAATTCTGAACGTCCTCTCTGCTCGCAGGTTAGCTGCTTCCCGCTCCTCCTATCCAAATCCTTCAGCGAAATCCTAACGCTGAGCGCTGACGTCCTCGCTGCCACAGCATGGCTGATGCCACAGCAACGGGATATGTCCCAGGCCCTAAAAAAAAAAGACGCTGGGGTCTGGGATTTGCTTTAGCCATTCCTTTAACCCAGTATAACAAAGCCTCAGTCAACCCAAGGAGCCTCAGCAGAACAATTACACCCTTAGAAAAAAAACCTGTCCCTGCAAAAAAAATTCCTGGCGGGTGCTTTGCTTTGCTATCAGAAGTTGCTCCGATTTTCCAGGGAGCTACTCACGGTACTGATGTTAAATGGCTGCCTGAGTGTTTGCGCAATTAAAAAGGTAATCTCTAGCAAATCATGAGTGCTAGGAGTTTGAGCCCAATTAAAAAATGGGTCAGGGGAAGCAAGGCACAAGGAAAAGCCCCAAACAAGAAGTTTGACTCCTACAGCTAATATTTAACTGTATTAAAAAAACCCCTACTACTCACTTTATGGAACCAGTCAACAACTCCTGTAAACTTGGCAGTACAATCCCTGAAAACTCCTGACATTCGAACAATCCCTGGTTCTTCCATCCCTCAAAAGGGAGCAAATTAACCTAAAGTGTTCCGGCAGCCTATTTTCTTTCTTTTCTGCCGCACCTGTCCTGTCCAACTCATCTTGGTATGGATAAAAAAATCACTTATGCCGTTAGCAGCGGACAATCAAAAACCAGTTTCAGTTTTTCTGGGATCAAGAGTGGAAGTATAAAGCTTAACATGTACATACATTTAGTAAAATAACAGAACAAAGTTACTAATTGAATATATTAGGGGGGAAAAATCAATACTGTGAGGTCCGACTCTCTCTGAACTAAAAACATTTCAGCCAGACCAGTAACATTTTCAAGCTCTGATAGTGGACCTTTGATCGAAGGGGAAAAAAAAAAATCCCAGATTTATGGTTTCGTGGCAAAGTTAAGCCACAGAAGGTACAGGGACCATAAGGGTCCTGTCACAAAACATTTAAAAACAGTGACAAAAAGGCATAAAAGACACCAGTGGATATTGTTTTATATGAAAACCCCTTTCTGGTATGCAATTAAATCTATAACAAAAAGCCCTGTAATTTGCTATACCAAGTGCTTGCAATATTTTAACAGTTTAAGCAGATGTATATAACTTTTTCTTTTTTTAGGGAATAAAGACAAGAGGGAAACCACCGCAATTTCACACAACTGTATCGGTGTGCTTAGAGGGAACACTGGGCTTTTTTCCACCTGAGGACAATGTAAGCTGGACGAAAAGGGGCAGAAGTGTGTGGTTTTGGTCTCCAGGAAAAACTAACCCAAGAAATTAAATTAGTTGGATGGGGAGGGGGAGAAATACCCAACACTGTGCATGGTGTTCTTACTTCGAACTTGAATCGTGTGAAGTAGCGTGAGGAACATAACGCACCTGATCGACAAAGGAAAAGAAAGGGAGAAGGAAAATTGAGGACGCTAACGAGATTTGTTACAAACTGGGTGCTTGCACTGTATGTCGCTACTTCAATTTCTCTAATTATCCAACATGAGTCTGTATATGGGGATGGGGGAACAATGTGTGATGACATTTGGGAAACAGTGCTTTCTTTGCCACCTTTTTTTTTTCTTTTTGACACACTTTGGAGTTGCTTAACAAAACTTTTAAACATCTTTTTCTGCTTTACAGGCAAACCCGCACCCAGGGGCAGCCAGTTTACAGTCAACGTAATGGAATGAGGATGGAGTTTGCAGACAAAGCAATGGATCCATATCCTACGTCTAGATGGCATCAAGGGTCAGAGTGGTATGAGTTTTACCGAGGCATCTCAGTGCTACTTCACCTGGAAACGTCACAACAGACATATTTGGGAGTAAATTGTGTGCTTTTGTGACTTTTTTTGTCTTTTAAACATTCACATCAGTGGGGTGCATAACTCTATCAGTCATTACAACAGGGGAGAATTCTGCTTGGTTTGTACACACACAGTATCAACTCACTGCTTACTGAAACGTACCCTGCAGATGATCTCAGGACTTGGTGGCGGGGAGGGGGGGCGGGAGGGGAAGGCAGGAAAAGGTATAATTTAATTATTCAATAAAAGAGCTTACTTACAAACCCAACCCTGCATCACATGGAAAACAAACCTCCTCAGAGACAAAGGCATGCTAATGCATAAAAGCAGTTCTCCGCACTGCACACCTGCCCTCCAGGGGAGTGGGAAGGCAGCAAACCTTGTTCTTTTTTTTATCTCCCCCCCCCCCCCCCCCCCCAGACATACACGCTTAAACTGTTTATTTTTGCTGATACTTTCTGGCTATATGGTTTCAACTAAGAAAAAAAAAAAGTGGTAATAAAGGAAACGGCTAAAGTTATGTTTGGGGAGGGGTAAGGTGCTTTACATACATCTCAGAGGAAGGAGGGGGTTCCTGGGATATATATATATATATTTTTAAACTTTTTAATAACTGGGAGCACTGGAGGTGAGCCTTTATCAAAAGGGGGAGGGGTGATGGGGGCTTTTGCCCCCCCACCCCCCCCCCCCCGTACCCCCTATACCCCCAACCCTCGCCACCTTCCTATCCCTGCCTGCACTCCCTGATTTGAGCCAAGGAATAATTTTTAAGAAGCAGAAAGAAGACAAAGGGGACGTTAATGAGGCCAGTGCTGCCCAGGAGAAATAACGTCATTAAAGACCTCATTAAGGACCCCCCTCCCCCCCCAAAAAAGGCAGCTAGGACCCCCCCCCAAAGCAACTAGGAGCCCCCCCCCCCCTCTCCCTAGCCTCTTCCAGACCCTCGCTCCTCTCATAA